TCTCTGCCTCAATTCTCCCGCCTCAGCCTCCTGAGTACCTGGGATTACACACATGCGCCACCATGCCCAGCTAAGAGAGACAGAGAGAAAGAGAGAGAGTGTGTATGTGTGTCTGTGTGCGTGTGTGTGTATTTTTAGTACTGCTACGATCACAGGTATGAGCCATCACACCCAGCCTATAAAATGTTTAATCAGAGCTTTAATGAAATAGGATGGAGGTACTGAGTTTGTGAGTATCCTCTTTTTTTTTTGGAGACAGAATCTCGCTTTGTTACCCAGGCTGGAGTGCAGTGGTGCAATCATGTCTCACTGCAACCTCTGCCTTTTGGACTCAAGCGATTCTTGGGCCTCAGGCACTCAAGCAGATGGGATTACAGATGTACACCACCACACCAAGCTAGTTTTTGTACTTTTTATAAAGAAAGGGATTTGCCATGTTGACCAGGCTGGTCTCAAACCATGGCCTCAAGTGATCCAGCCACCATGGGCTGAAAAAGTGCCAAGATTACTGCTGCACCTAGTCTGTGAATATCTTTAAATGAAATTATAAGATATTTGCCCTAGACCCAGTTTTCAGGAAGAAATATCAAAAGATAGATAATTATTTTATTTCTTTTCATGGTATTTTGACTAAGTATTCCTAAATATTACTTGTGGTATTCAATAGGATCACCTTTCAGCCAGGTTTAATCACTGGAACAAGACTTAAGCCTTGAGTAAAACTCAAAGTATGCTGTGCACAGAAGACAACTGAAGAAAGTGCAACAGCCAATATGCAAATAAATCAATGTTCACATTCATAATTTTTTAATTGTTGTTTTTTGAGACAAGGTATGGCTCTATCGCCCAGGCTGGAGTGAAGTGGTGTGATCGTGGCTCACTGCAATCTTTGCCTTCCAGGCTCAAGCCATCCTCCCACCTCAGTCCCCTAAGTAGCTGGGACTACAGGCGTGCACCACTGTCTGGATAATTTTTCTATTTTTTGTAGTGATGAGGTTTCACCATATTACCCAGGCTGGTCTCAAACTCGTGAGCTCAAGCAATCTACATGCTATAGCCTCCCAAAGTGCTGGAGTTACAGCATGAGCCACAGAACCCAGGTTAACAATAATTTTTTAAATACAATTTACAACAAATTATTGCTTAACTGGACAAACTGCATAAAATCTATTTTAAATGATGACAGCCATTGTTTTTGTGAGGAAAGATGGAAACTCACTGCTATGGCTTGGATATTTGTCCTCCCAGATTTCATGCTGAAATTTGATCCCCAATGTTGGAGGTGGGGTCTAGAAAGAGGTGTTTGGGTCATGGGAACCAATCCCTAATGAATACCTTGGTGCCACTGCCCTTTAGGTAATGAGTGAGTTCTCCCTCTACTGGTTCCTGTGATTATTAAAAAAGGGCCTGCTACCTCCCCTCCTCCTCCTCCCTCTCTTGCCATGTGATCTGCACACACAGGCTCCCCTTCTCCTTCCACCATGAGTGGAACTAGCCTGAAGCCCTCACGAGAAGCAGATGCTGGCACCATGCTTCTTGTATAGCCCACAGAACAGTGAACCAAATAAACCTCTTTTCTTTATAAATTACCCAGCTCTAGGTATCCTTCTGCAGCAACACAAATGAACTAAGACACTCACTCTCACTTTCTTGGGGCCATAAATTGCTACGAAAAAGAACTTTTAAACTGTGCATACATGTGGATCTAGCAATTCTACCTTCAGGAAGTTAGCCTAAAGATTATAAATGTACACAGAGATATAACTAGACATTATGAACATGACTTTATCCATAATAGTGAAAATCTGGGAACAACCCAACATTCATCAATTGGGAGTTAATTATTAAAATCATAACAAAATGGAACACTAAGCAGCCCTGAAAAAGTGCAGTAGTGTTCAATGTATCAATTCGGTAGTAAAAAGAAAATATTATACAGTGGTATATAATACGATCGTATTTTGGTTACTATGAATGTGCTCTGTGTAATCACAACAAACTGTTAAAACTATTAGAAAATAAAATTATAAAGGATTTTTAAGTTACAGAATTAAAAACTTATCCCAATATGCAATTATTCTGAGATCAGAAAATAAAGATTTAAAAGCAATGTAGCTACAAGAATAGTAATCACAACATTGCATAGAATTCCAAGATAATGAAATTCATAAATGTCCAAGAATAGAGAATTGAACAAATTGCAATGTATTCATACAATAAGGCACTCTACAAGCATTTAAGCAACGATGCAATACAACATTTACCAAACTGAAGAGATGTCCATGTTATATTGCTAAGCTACAAAAAATGTTATATAATATATACTGTAAGATTCCCTTTTTAAAATAAATATCAACATGCCAGTATACAAAAGACTAGGAAGATAAACATATCACTGCATGGTATTACAGATTACTATTTTCTTCTTTTTATTTATGCATATCTTCTCTATTTTGACAGTGAATATATACCTATTAGTAAAAGAAAAGAATATCTCTTTTTTTTTTTTTTTTTTTTTGAGATAGAGTCTCACTGGTCGCAAAGGCTGGAGTGTAGTGGCACAATCTCAGCTCACTGCAACCTCCGCCTCCCAGGTTCAAGTGACTGTGCTGCCTCAGGCTCCCGAGTAGCTGGTATTACAGGTGTCCGCCACCACAACCAACTGATTTTTGTATTTTTTAGTAGAGACAAAGTTTCACCACATTGGCCAGGCTGGTCTCAAACTCCCAACCTCAAGTCCGCCTATCTTGACCTCTCAAAGTGCTTGCATTATAGGCATGAGCCACTACACCCAGTCCTAATGCCTATCTTTTGTTTAAAAAAATTTAACAAAGATTGTCATGCCTAACCTACTTTTAGTTAAAATTCTATACAAATAAAACTGGTGTTTGGGTAGTGGGAACACTTTCAGAACAGTAGAATAAGAAAGTCTGAAAATCTACTCATCCATAAAAGCAACAAAAACACTGGCAAAAACTATGAAAATCAACTTTTGGAACTTTGGAAATTAACTAAAATTCTTTCAACAATCCAAGAAGTGTTTCTTCAAGAAAGGCAAACGAATCTAGGAAACAAAAGCAAGCTTGAGATGTCTGTGTTCACCCTAATCCCATCCCTCTCTCCCAAGTTCCTTAAAACCAAAGTCCCTGAAACTATTAACGGCTGTGAAAAACAACAGCTTAGTAGCCACTGAGCAAGGAGGTGGGTCCAGACTGCAGTACAGTAGTGTGATCTTGGCTCAATGCAGCCTCCAGCTCCTAGGTTCAAGTCATTCTCTGCTTCAGCCTCCCAAGTAGCTCGAATTATAGGCATGCACCACCATGACTGGCTAAGTTTTATATTTTTAGTAGAGACGTGGTTTCACCATGTTGGCCAGGCTGGTCTCAAACTCCTGGCCTCAAGTGATCTGCCCGCCTAGGCCTCCCAAAGGACAAAATACATTTGGAGGTCCATAAAAGACTAATTACCTGAGCTGTCTGGCAAATTGCTGAAATGCTCCATTTTCAGGGCCTGTCTTTATCTGACCTGACTCAGAGATCACCCAGTATCAACAACCCTGTATTCAAAGGATTTCTCAAAAACATTGAACAGCAATCCTTCAAGATCACAGCTACCTGAGGTGACATTACCAACTAGGGCTATTAAGAGGCTGATTGGAAACTTAAAAAAAAACATAGAATGAGATGTCCATAGGGACTTTGGAAAGCTCCAAAATATTCCTGGAAATCTAGAAAGCCGTATGTGCAGGACTGAGCCATGCTCAAGTCCAGGAGAAATCTGAGAAGGCTCTAATCGCTCGCTGGCTGATTTTAAGGCTTCGTGGAAGCAGGAAGCAATAGTCAAGACAGACTGGAAACTGTGAAAGATGCCAGAAACAAGGCAATGGGCCATGTATTATATAATTCCACTTATATAAAATGTCCAGAAAAAGCAAATACAGAGAGACAGAAAATAGATTACTGATTGTCAGAGGTTGGGGGCAGGAGAAATGGGGAGTGACTGATAATGAGTATAGGGTTATATTTGGGGATGATTAAGAATCCTGGGACTAGATAGCAACTGGTAGTTGCACAACTTAAGACTACTAAAACCCACTAAATTACATGCTTTAAAAAAGTAACTTTTAGGCTGGGCACAGTGGCTTATGCCTATAATCCTAGGACTTTGGGAGGCTGAAGTGAGGTGATTACTTGACCCCAGGAGTTCTATGCCAGCCTGGGCAACATGGTGAGACCCAATCGCTACAAAAAGTTTTTAAAAATTAGGCAGGCATGGCGGTATGCGTCTGTGGTCCCAGCTACTTGGGAGTTTTGAGCCCAGGAAGTCAAGTCTGCAGAGAGCCATGTTCACACCACTGTTCTCCAGCATAGGTAAGAGTGAGACCTTGCCTTAAAAAACATAATGAAATAACTTTTGTAATATGTATATTATACCTAAATAAAGTCATAAAATTAAAATCTTTAATCTGCTTTGTAAAAACCATAATCCAACATGGATGGATAACTATCATCTTTCCTCTAAATTTTTTATTGGCAATGTTTTGAGGAATTAGTCATTATGAATTTGAAAATGTAATAAGTATCCATACAATGTATATTTATGAAAACGTAAGGAATATTTATAGCTTTAGATCGTATTTCAATTTTCTAAGCTCTCTTTCAATTACATTTTATCACAGATAATTTTAGATGAAGTTTAAAGGTTCTTATTTTTAATAAGTTTTTCCTGTTTACAAATATTTATGGGCGGACAATTATAAAAGCAATACAGGTGTACAGCAGAAGATACAGAAATAGAGAAAACACAAAGAAAAAACTAAAAATCGCTCATATCATATCACCATCCAGAGACCCAACTGTTTTTAACATTTTGGTCTAAAGCTTCCAGACTTAACTTTCTTTTCAAATGTTAGCATAGTATAGAAGAACAATTTAAAAATACATGAATATAAGAAAACTAAAATATGTGTTCAATGCCTCAAATCCCCAAATGTTACTTACAGTTTTATCTCCAATAAAGGTAAGGTTTGTTCCATTCTCCTTAGCCTTTAAACAATTAAAAAAAAAAATTAATTCAGAACTTCTAGTTTTTAGCTGCCCAAGTTTCTGTAGTGGCTGCCTGAGCCTGCTCCCCAGGTACAGCACTCCCTCCCTGGAGATGCAGCAAGCAAGGGTGGCTCCTGCACCGCCAAAGTTTTATTGTACTCTCAGAAATATATAACGAAAACAATTACCTCCTGTTTTTCTCCTAAAAGAGGCAGTCGATGCATAAAATCTCCAGAAAAGCTCTATAAAAGAAACACAAAACTAAAAAAATTAAAGGTGTGTAAATACTACAAGAATAGTGTAGCTCAAAATACAAAGAAATGGTTTATTTATTTATTTTTATTTTTATTTTTTTTTTGAGACGGAGTTTCACTCATGTTACCCAGGCTGGAGTGCAATGGCACAATCTCGGCTCACCGCAACCTCCGCCTCCTGGGTTCAGGCAATTCTCCTGCCTCAGCCTCCTGAGTAGCTGGGATTACAGGCACACACCACCATGCCCAGCTAATTTTTTTTTTTGTATTTTTAGTAGAGACGGGGTTTCACCATGTTGACCAGGATGGTCTCGATCTCTTGACCTCGTGATCCACCCGCCTCAGCCTCTCAAAGTGCTGGGATTACAGGCTTGAGCCACCGCGCCCGGCCAAGAAATGGTTTAAACAAAACACTATACCCTAAGTAGTAAATATAAAAACATAGCATCGGTAGACAAAACATTTCCAATTAACCGCAAACAAGTGAATAAAACCCTGCTGGGAACTAGAAAATAGTATCAAACCCAAATGGCCATTCAGTTTTTCTATGAAAATAATAAACATTTAAGAATGACAAAGCCTTAGATATAGGAAGTATGCTTAGGATAGAAGAATCTTAGATCATTTCCCCTCATTCTACAGATGAGTAAAATGTGACTCAGAACTACAAAGTTTTATACAAAGAAATAGGATTTACACTTAAGACTCTTGACGCTTAGGCCTGCTGTCCCTTCTACCACACTACATTTCATGTCTGTAATAAACTACACTAATTATTTTTCTTACCAGTTATCAGTAGATGAGGCATTCTCCTTCCTAATAAGATTGTGTAATTCAACACTGTTACATTAGACTGGAGGAGAGGAAATCTTACCAACAAGCCAGACCCTGGAAAAATTATAGCACTTCTCAAAGTAGCGAGCCTCAGGCAACTAGATTTAACAGGTAGCTTTCCATAATCAAATCCAACAAAGACCAATCAATCTTCCTAATCTAAGGTATAAATTTGGAAAACCAACAGAAAACATACATACTACAGAACATCACATTGGTTCTAGCTTTCTCTTTCTACCACTCTGTCACCATTTTAAAGCTATTTTCTTTTCCCTCCAAGACCATAAAACCTAAGTTATATTAAGAGCTGAACTCTTCCTTCAATTACTGATTACTTCATCTGCTTATCCATTACCAATTTTTTTTGACACTGAATTTCACTCTTGTCTCCCAGGCTGGAATGAAGTGGCATGATCTCAGCTCACTACAACCTCCACCTCCTGGGTTCAAGTGATTCTCATACCTCAGCCTCCTGAGTAGCTGGGGTTATAGGTACCTGCCACCATGCGCGGCTAATTTTTTAATATTTTTTGTAGAGACGCGGTTTCACTATGTTGGCCAGGCTGGTCTCGAACTCCTGACCTCAGGTGATCCACCCGCCTTGGCCTCCCAAAGTGCTGGGAGGCAGAGGTTGTAGTGAGGCAAGATCGTTCCATTGCACTCCAGCCTGGGCAACAAGAGCGAAACTCCATCTCAAAAAAAAAAAAAGGAAGGACAAGTAAAGATGATAACTACTATAACTATTTTCAACACATATAAAATATTTCTATCAAAAAATTGGTATTAGATTACTATTTCTAAGACAACAGAATTTCATATCAGAATCTCCACTTACCTGAGGTAAGCATGAAAAATATAATTATTCACATCTTCCTCTTTCCACAAAATTAAGGTATGAAATTGAACCCTAAGACAGTGATGATACATATCCTTCTGATTTCAGATCTATGGCAGTAAAATGTAAAAATCCTGATTTTTCTGGGAACATATTAATTAGATGAGGTGACCAGAGAATTAAAAATGTGAGGTTTTAAATGTCCATCAACAGATAAATGGAAACACAATATGTGGAGATACATACAACAGAGTATCATTCAGCCTTAAAAAGGAATGAAATTCTGATAATGCTACAACATGGGTGAACCTTAAAAACATTATGCTAAGTCAAAGAAGTTACACAAAAAAGAACAAAAGTTGTATGATTCTACTTATGTGAGGTATCTAGAATAGTCATATTCACAGAAAGTAGAAGAGTGGTTCCTATGGACTTGGGGTTGGAGAATGGGGAATTATTATTTAATAGATATGAAGTCTGAGTTTGGGATGATGAAAGTACTAGAGATGGGGCTCGGCCTTTAGGCTCACGCCTATAATCTCAGCACTTTGGGAGGCCAAAGTGGGTGGATCACTCGAGGTCAGGAGTTCAACACCAGCCTGACCAACGTGGTGAAAACACAAAAGGAATTAGTCAGGCATAATGGTGTGCACCTGTAGCCCCAGCCACTTGGGAGGCTGAGGCGGGAGAATTGCTTGGACCCAAGAGGTGGAGGTTACAATGAGCTGAGATAAGGCCACTGCACTCCAGCCTGAAGAACAGAGCAAGACTCCACCTGATGGGAGGGGGGGGAAGTACTGGAGATGGGTTGATGGCTGCACAGCAATATACTTAATGCCACGGTATTACACACTTTAAAATGGTAAATTTTATATAGTGTATATTTTACCACAATAAAAAAAACCTGGGGGTTTGCTTTTTACACACAAAGGAAAGTACAACCTCTCTTTGATGAGATGAATATAAGTGGCTGACTACGTACCTATCAGAAGACGCTTCTAATTACTTCTACCAAAAGAAATACTTGAGGAGTGGGAAGTGGATATAGACAAAAATATAGACATTCCACTTTTCACTTACTCTACTTTCCTCCAACCACTTTTAAAGATTACCTGTGTTTTAAAGAGTTCACTGCAGTTCTGGAACAATTTTGATGATGTTTGATATTTCCCAGACAAGCCTCTTTTTTCCTTAAGTTTTTCCAAATATGACTCTACTTCTTCTGCCTGGAAAAAGAGATGACACAGAGCAGTTAATTCACCTTTCAGAAATAAGATACTAAGAGCACAACAAATAGATCACCTATAGTACAAATACAATTTTGAGTTTGCTATTTCAAAAATGATCAGCATCAGATAAACGCTCTACATAAAAGTATGTAAGAATCTAACATTATTAGACTCGTGTATAATTCTAGTCTTTGGCTCACAAGACAGTTCTACTAAAAATTCTGAGGAGACTGGGAAACTGCCAGTGTCTAGAGGATTTTGTCACATTAAACATATTTAAGAGTTTACCTGACTAAATTACCAACATCAACAAAAAGATATTCATGCTCATAAGCTAAGATAGAACACAAAGCTGTCGTAATAGGACAATATTTTAAAAAGTACAAACAGGGCCAGGCGTGGTGGCTCATGCCTGTAATCCCAGCACTTTGGGAGGCAAAGGCGGGAGGATCACAAGGTCAAGAGATCGAGACCATCCTGGCCAACATGGTGAAGCCCCATCTCTACTAAAAAATATAAAAATTAGCTGGGCATGGTGGC